TGGAAAAGAACCTAAGAAAAACAAGAAGGTCTTCCGCTGAAGACGGAAGACCTTAATAATAATAAGAAACAGAGTAAAAACAATATGTTCCCCAACTTCGTTTGGGGAACATAATAATAAGAAACAGAGTAAAAACAATATGTTCCCCAACTTCGTTTGGGGAACATAATGATGAGTTCCATTTATCCTTTTTTTAATGCACAACTACAGATGCATTTTCTTTGCTAAATTATGTCCTCACTTGTTAAAAAAAATATTAGAAAGAAAGGTCACAATGCATGAAAAAATACAAAAGTACTAGTATAAAGGCAATTTATACTAGATATATATACACTGTACATGTTAAATCCGTAATTTATGAATAGTTAAAGCGTACTTTTCAGATTTCAAATTATGAAAATAACTAATAAAAACATGACCTGAAAAAGTGAGAAAATGGGTAATGCATATGCTTAAGCTTTAAAAAAAATTGTATATTTTCTAGAGTACAATCACGAACATGCAATTAATATATAGAAGATTGCCAAACATACGGCCCCATCTATATCTTCAATGTAACAACAAAATTATGAGTGTCGATCCACTTGTGCTTTACGCATAGTTCTATGAAAGTAAAAGTTAAACTTATACTTTCTCAATATTTAAGTCAGTTATGCAATCCGATATGAGATTTAATAAAAATTCATGTCACAGTTAAACAAAAAGGTTGTTATGAGGCAATTTTCACAGGTCAACGCTTATATATCATGAACGTCCTTTGAAAATGAACCATTTAGTCCAAACAAAACAAATATTTTAGAGACAAAGGAAAGCGTGCAAGTCAGGGGCCTATTCAGAGCAGATTCTAAAGTTCTCGAGCCATACAGACACATACGTACACTATTTGATTGCTGTCTTCAGAGAAAAAAAAACACATAAAGAAATTTTATAGAAAAGAGAACATGTTTTACATGCGAAATTTGCACATTGGACTGTCTTTCGAATAAAAATGCTTCTCATATATTAGTAAAATACTGTAAACGTATTACATTTGGCTTTCTATACTAGTCTACCCAACATTTTACATGCATAAAAAGAAGTTCCATTGTGTGCAGAAGGAGGAGAAATGCTGGTCATTCTCTGTCACTTCATTACCATCAAATATTCGAACATCTTACCATCCTTACCAACTAACAAGGAGCCCACGTGTTCTGAAAGGGGGGGGGGGGTAGAAGTTGAGTAGATTACTTTTGTGTTAGTCTTCTAGTTAAATTTACATGGACCGGTCCTTTGGATGAGTCTGTATAAACCGCGGTCCCGTGTCGCAGTAAGTGCTGGCACGAAAAAGATCCCTCACTCCTCAAAGGCCCTGAGTGCCGGTTTGCAGCTCTCCTCCGGCAAATGATGGCGTCTCCACATGAGTTAAAAATTCTCGAGATGGACGTTTAATAACATATAAACATTCAATTTAAGTATTTAAATTTAAACATTGAGAAAGGGTCGTCGTCTGAAGGATAAAAGAGGACAAGTTAATCCAAAACCTTTTTTATACAAAATGTTTCCGAAGTTATCTAGAAACCTTTTTTCATACAAGATATATCCGACTTTTGTGTATGAAATCTGTAGCGAACAGTATATTGGGAACTTTTACTGCCTCGCTAGTGAGGTAGCTTTTCTAGTGATGCGGTAGCACCCATAGGCACTTGGGGTATGGACCCCCCCCCCCACCCTTTCCATTTTTTTTCTTTTTAAATCTGGGTTCGAGTCACCTCTTCCCTATTTTTCTATTCTAATATACACTGTATGTTATAAAAAATGCAACTCTTTTATCTCTACAAGCTGTTTTTAAATATGTCGTTTTCGACTGATACTTATAAAGAGAGAAGGCTTGCAACTCTTTTCTCGTCATCCGCCTCACCTCGCTTAAACTTCGCTCGATTATTTATCTAAACCTGAATAAAACATGGGATATGCATACATTAATAAATTTGTTATACATTCCTCTTCCTTTTCATTTTCCATTTAATTTCTATGTGCCCCCGATTTGTAAATATTTCGATGGAATCACTCGCATCTAGGGTAAAAATTTTTGATGTGCACTGACTGGGACGGAAGTAGAAAAGAACGATAACTCTAACTTTACAACTGTTCTGCATTTCCAAAAAAAAAATCCAGGCGTTTTAATAACAATATTGTGAAATTTGGATGTTTATGTAGTATGTTAAAAGTTAATCGACATTTATCAGAATCTACTAGTTACAGTTATCTTGTTACATGGCGAACTTACCGTTACTTGTAATATGAAGAGAAAATTCGAGATTTATTCCCTCTCGAATTTAGTGTTCCGAATGACATTACACTTAATGATGACGCCCAAAAATACCGGGTACTTCCGTCCCAGTCAGTGCACATCAAAAATTTTCATATGAAAAGGAAGAGGAATGTATAACAAATTTATTAATGTATGCATATCCCATGTTTTATTCAGGTTTAGATAAATAATCGAGCGAAGTTTAAGCGAGGTGAGGCGGATGACGAGAAAAGAGTTGCAAGCCTTCTCTCTTTATATGTATCAGTCGAAAACAACATATTTAAAAACAGCTTGTAGAGACAAAAGAGTTACATTTTTTATAACATACAGTGTATATTAGAATAGAAAAATAGGGAAGAGGTGACTCGAACCCAGATTTAAAAAGAAAAAAAATGGAAAGGGGGGGGTGGGGGGGTCCATACCCCAAGTGCCTATGGTAGCACCCCTACTAATGTTATTGTGATTTAAATTCAAGACACGTGGTTTAGGTTGATCTATTCAAAGGTTATATGGTAGAACCGGTTTTATAAATAAAGTTGGCAGTAAACAGGATATTACTATAGCCTGTTTCTTTTGAAAATATGTCCTGTAATAAATGTTTCCAGACCTTTCTGAAAGACTTTCATGATTTTTCGACAGAAAGGGGATGGCTAAAGGAGGGGGTGTTAAAAAAACAATATATCTTATACTTTTCGGCGAAAATAAGAGCTCACTAGTGACCGATTCACTGGTAAAAAAAAAATGTTTTATCATCTACACTGACAAACCTTTGTTTGCCTTATATGGCTATTGTTATAACTGCGCACAGAGGATCTTACCACGAGCAACTGACCAATCATTGGAATGAATATTAACGTTTACGCCAAATACATGTTTGTATTTTACTTCGAACACGTGGTTCAGGTCAAATCTATGATCATGTCAATGGAATACAAAATAATAAAAATAAATGTTCTGAAGAACAAAATACAAAGATAAGAAACTATTAAAAATGTTACGGGCGTTTTTAATTAATTGTTTACTGAAAAAAATGTTTAATAAAATGTAGTTTTGTGTCTAGTATAGTACACCAGCGCTTCGAGGGTATATCTTATGCATTTAAATGGAGAAAACTTTGTTTACGTTCGTGATCACGTGTTTGGCCAGGGAATCTACCTGGCAATTGTATTCACCGATAGTACAACAAAGGAATTAATACAAAGCAAATCGCTTTTGCAGTATGACTTTTAGAAACCCAGACTTCCACCGTTTATTGAACAAATGAATTGTTTGTCATTATGAGCACGCACACAATATGTTTAAAATGCTTTTTTATTTACATTAAGATTTTCCTTTGTTTCAAGCGTAAAATTCCTGTAGTATTCGTAGTAACCCATAACGCAATACTCATTCAGCTGATTGGTCAGTTAAAATCATGCTGGGGCCTCATTTGCTAATCTGACGCCAAAAAATATAGTCCTGGTTCCCATGCAAAAAATATTTTTCCAAAAAGAAATTTTAATTCATGAATGCAGAAAATTCATCACAATCAGTGCTTTGTTTATAACCAGCTACATGGGATTTAACTAGCAATTTTTTTTATACATCGATAAGTTTTATTGCTGTTTATTATTCTAATACAGTACTGTTAAAAGTTGCAAATTATTTCATTTTCAGGTATTTTGAGAAATACATAAAAGTCATATTTCTGTATGACGTCACAGTAAACTTTTCTCGGTTAAATTATTCCCCGCCCCCTTTTTCAAGCCTGATTAACAATGCTGCGAGATAATAACAACTAGCACACGGCGGGTATAACTATTTGGCAAGCCCTGTAATACTTTTGACAGGAGGACTGACTCCATCCTTGGTAGATAAATTGATGTTTGCATCGTTGTTCAAAAACAGTTGTACCGTGCTACCTTCTTCATTTGACAAGCTATATAAATAGGACTGATTGCATCCCTGTTTCATAAATTGCTGTCGGCACCATTGTCTACTAACAGTTGTACCGTCCTATAATGTCTATTACAACAAGCTATATGAAGAGGACTGACTCCATCGTTCGTACATAAATTGCTGTCCGCACCATTGTCCAGTAACAGTTGTACCGTACTATCACGTCATGCTTCACAAGCTATATGAAGAGGACTGACTCCATCATTGGTACATAAATTGATGTCGGCACCGTTGTTTGATAACAGTTGTACTGTGCTATCATGTCCATTTTGACAAGCTATATAAAGAGGACTGACTTTATTTTTTTCACATAAATTGATGTTGGCACCATTGTTCAGTAATAGTTGTACCGTGCTGTCATGTCCATTTTCACAAGCTATGTAAAGAGGACTGGACCTATCGTTGGCACATATATTGATATCGGCACTGTTTTTCAGTAAGAGATGTACCGTGCTATCATGTCTTTTATAACAAGCTATATAAAGAGGACTGACTCCATCGTTGGTACAAAAATTACTGTCGGTACCATTGTCCAGTAACAGTTGTACCGTGCTGTCATATCCATTTTGACAAGCTATATAAAGAGGACTGACTCTATTCTTGAAACATAAATTTTTGTCGGCACCGTTATTAAGCAACAGTTGTACCGTGCTATCATGTCCATTTTGACGGGCTTCATAAAGAGAACTGGTTCCATCATTTGTACATGAATTGATGTCGACCTCGTTTTTTAGCAATAGTTGTACCGTGCTATCATGACCATTTTGACAAGTTATATAAAGAAGACGCCATCTTTGGTATACAGATTGATGTCGGCACCGTTGTTCAGTAAAATTTGTACCGTGCTATTATGTCCATTTTCACAAGCTATATAAAGGGGACTAGCCCCATCGTTGGTACATGAATTGATGTCAGCACCGTTGTTTAGTAACAGTTGCACTGGGCTATCATGTCCATTTTCACAAGCTATAAATAGAAGATTAACCTCATTCTTTTCACATCAATTGATGTTGGCCCCGTTTTTCAGTAACAGTTGTACCGTGCTATCATGTCCATTTTCACAAGCTATATAATGAGGACTAGCTCCATTGATTTGACATCAATTGATGTAGGCACCGTTGTTAAGTAACAATTGTACCGTGCTATCATATCCACTGTAACAAACTATATGAAGAGGACTGGCTCCATCGTTTGTACATGAATTGATATCGGCACCGTTGTTCAGTAACAGTTGTACCATGCTATCATGTCCATTTTGACAAGCTTTATAAAGAGGACTGGCTCTATTGATTTGACATAAATTGATGTCGGCACCGTTGTTAAGTAAGAATTGTACCATGCTATCATGTCCACTGTAACAAGCTATATGAAGAGGACTAGCTCCATCGTTTGTACATGAATTGATATCGGCACCGTTGTTCAGTAACAGTTGTAAAATGCTATCATGTCCATTATAACAGACTATGTGAAGAGGACTGGCTCCATAGTAAGTATATAAATTAATGTCGGCACCGTTGTTCAGTTACTGTTTTACCGTGCTCATATGTCCGTTTTGACAAGCAAGATAAAGAGGATTGGCTCTATCGTTTGTACATGAATTGATATCTGCACAGTTGTTCAGTAACAGTTGTACCGTACTATCATGTCCAGTTTCACAAGCTACATGAAGAGGACTGACTCCATTCTTTGCACATAAATTGATGTCGGCACCGCTGTTCAGTAACAGTTGTACTGTGCTATCATGTCCATTTTGACAAGCTACATAAAGAGGACCGTATCCATCGTTGAAACATGAATTGATGTCGGCACTTTTGTTAAGTAACAGTTGTATGGACTTATCATGTCCAAATCTACAAGCTTCAAGGAGAGAAGTGACTCCATCATTTGTACAAAGATTGCTTTCGGCACCGTTGTTCAGTAACAGTTGCACCGTACTATCATGTCCATTTTTACAAGCTACATTAAGAGGACTGGTTCCGTTGTTCATACATAAATTGATGTCGGCACCGTTGTTTAATAAGGACATAATGGTTGCATCTCGTCTTTCCCCTCCCTTTGTATCCATTCCAGCCTCTGTTAAATGTTCTTCCTCATTTACAATGGCTAATATTAATAGAGTCTATTTGCCATCAGTTGTAAACTTGTTTACATCAGCACCGATATTTGCTAATTTCTCAAATATTGAAGAATTATGAAATACGGAAGCAACATGAATGGGTAAAAAAACATCCCATTTTTCCATTATATTAAAATTTTCTCCAGTAGAATTTATAGGTTTGAATTACCATTTGCACACAAGGCAGAAAAGACGGGATAATCTTTTAGCGTTTTTTGATTGATTTTTTTAAGAAAAATGAAGAAATGTCATTATGACAAATATAAGGAATCCAATTAAAGGACATATTTCATCTTTCAAATCAAGGAAACGAAGTCTAGACAAGCCGATGCCTTTAAATAAGCTTGAAAATTTCGATCTGTCTATTTCACACTTAATTCTGACAAAAACCTTTCCAATCGAATCTACCTTTTCCTTTAAGGATTTTACGACACTCTTTCCTTAGACAAGGATTGAGTAGAACATCAATAAGGTGTTCTGTTTGCATATCAAAATAAACCTGTCCACAAGATCACCGATGTACTCTTGAGGCAGGTAAACAGTGAAGGGATCACGGTCTTCCTCTTCTGTATCGTCTTCTATCTTCATCTGGCGTCTCAGAAAACCACTATCTGCGTTTTGTATTGTCTTTTGTGGACAATCAGCACCAAACACCAGAGTCGTTATCTCCATTATAAAGTCATGAAGGAATTTGTAAATTTGTCTTACGCATTTGACATATGAACCATTTAGTTCATTTAAAGTTCTGCCAATGACAGAAACATTAATGTATTCTGGAAGTTCACACAGCCCTTAAATATTTTTGCATTTATGTAATGATATTTTATCTTTGTTTAAAGAGTGAATATCTAAATTATTATTGAATGCCATGATCAAAAGTAGGGCACAATATTTTTGTTTATCTTGTATTTTGTAATGTTCTATTTCCTTTTTTATGAACAGAAAAGGGTTTTTAAAGAGGTTAACTCCTTCTTGTCTGCTACTCAGTTCACATGAAAACACTTTACAAAGCAAAGGAAAATAAGCTTCCGTTTTGATAATTTCCGTAACTTTCTCATCAGATATATCCAAATGTTGACAGTATTTATTTAAGATCTTCCTTTTTTCTTCATCTGTCAGTTTTAATTCGTCGCTGTCAATTTCTACTATGTTAGACTCCTTTTTGAGAATACCTTCTAATCTTGTCATTAATGACACATCTTCTACATGACACCAACAATTTAACTCTTTGCAAGCAAGTTTGTAATGTTGTCTCGTAAGTTTTCCATGAGTTATATGATATATCATCAAGAGTTTCCTTACCTATCGGATCATTCAGTACAAACAGTGTTTGATTACCTGGCGAGATTCTAGGAGAACATATTTCTTTCACCTCATCGACATGTTTAATATCCCATCCCTGTTCTTCTTTTAACTTGAGTGCAATGTGTTGGATCATTGCCGTTTTTCCGCATCCAGAATTACCGACAACCGTGACCAGGTTTTGACTTTTAATCTTTTCTTCTACAAATTGCTTGCCGTTGTCGGAACAAAGTTCTTGTCCTCTTGCCAACTTCTCAGAATATCTTCTATTAGAGTTGTACCTTTAAATACTGAAAACAAACATGAGGCCCATGGGCCACATCGCTCACCTGAACATTATGGCTAAAATAAAAGCAGAACTTAGTTTATAATTGAAAAGTTTAAACCCAAAAGTGTCCCAACCATTCCTTAAAGAGGAGAGGGTATGCTTTGCACAAACTTGAATCTTCACTACCTGAGGATAATTCCATATAAATATTGACCAATCATGGCTTTGTTATTCTTTAGAAGATTTTTAAAGAAATTTCCAATATATTTCTATGTAAAACTTTGGTCGGCCATTGTGGCCCCGCCCTACCCCCGGGGGTCATGATTTGAACAAACTTGAATCAACACTACCGAGGATGCTTCCATATAAATATGACCAAACATGGCTTTGTTATTCTTGAGAAGAAGATTTTTAAAGATTTTTCCCATTTATTCCTATGTAAAACTTTGATCGTCCATTGTGGCCCCGCCCTACCCCCTGGGGTCATGATTTGAAAAAATCTTGAACCTACACAACCTGAGGATGCTTAAATATAAATATGACCAATCATGGCTTTGTTATTCTTGAGAAGAAGATTTTCAAATAATTTTCCCATATACATGTATTTCTATGTAAAACTTTGGTCGGCCATTGTGGCCCTGCCCTACCCCCGGGAGTCATGATTTGAACAAACTTACAATGCAAATTTACACTACCTGAGTATGATTCCACATGAGTTTCATATTTCCTGGCCCAGTGGTTCTTGAGAATAAGATTTTTAAAACATACCATCAAATTTTCATGTCCCCTTAAATGAGGGCGTGGCCCTTCATTTGAACAAACTTGAATCCCTTCACCTAAGAATGCTTTGTGGCAAGTTTGGATGAAATTCGCCCAGCGGTTCTTGAGAAGAAGTCGAAAATGTGAAAAGTTTACAGACAGACAGACATACAGACGGACAGCCTGACGGACGCCGGACAAAATGTGATCAGAAAAGCTCACTTGAGCCTTCGGCTCAGGTTAGCTAAAAGCCCATCACAGGAATATTATTGTGTAATTATGTCTATGCCTCGAAAAATTCATGTTCACTTTCAACAGAGACTATTGCTATGGTTCTTCATTAATTTAAACTAATCCAAAGAGAAAATAAGTGGAGCCTCATTTATCTGGACGTATTCGTTCCCAATCAATTTGTCCGGATATGTGAAGCGTCCTGATATCTGAATTACCAGTTAAGACAAAATAGCGTTTAAAAATTCCGTTCCGATGAAAAGTCGTCCGGATACTGAAGCATCCGGATATCTGGCCTCCGGATATCTGAAGGTCCACTGTTATCGATTTTGAAATATAAATCGCATTTGCTGACCATATAAGGATATAAAATTGTACGTATAAGTTTTGATTCATTATTTCTTAAGGGGGATTCTTTTCTGGTTTCTGAAAATCAAATATTAAAAATTACTTGCTTCTATTCTTCTTCTTTAATTAAATTTTGAGGATTTAAAAGATATTTTATCGCCTCCTCATAATTAAAAAAAAAAATTTAAGATGATTAACTGAGATTTAAAAACTATGAAAAAAAAATTCAAGAAAATTTGGCATCAAAACATTAAAAGAAATCCATTACATCTGAACGTACGACTTTTTAACATTCTATACATCAAAGTGAAGTCCAAGCTTTTTGACATTACATATAGCTCCTTTTTCAATAAAAATGGATCTCGTAAATATACACTGTACTAATCTTGTCATTGGTCAAATCAAATATGGTTTTGTTTAAATACTCTTATTGTACACATCGGTACTGTAAAACTTATATTACATGTTACAAGAGGCCAAGTGAGGAAATTTATGTTTTGCTAAAGAATTGGAAAGTAAATTTTTGAAAAATTCTAAAATTTCATCACGATTTGATGAAAGCATATTTTAATAAAGATTTATAATGCAACAACATTATAAAATTTCACTTTGTTCTAATAACTAATTATGTCACAGCAGCTTTCTGTAAATGGATATTTGTAAAATCCCGGGGAGACCTCGACGTAACCTCAGGTTAAGTATGTAACGTCACGTTAAAGAAGCATCTCACCCTGAGTCTACAAAATGCTGCTTTTTTTCTTTTACATTTTTTTCTCCCAAGAAGAGCTTTAATATCCTTGCGCACCAACTTATCTTTCAAAATACAACCCTTCTCTCCATATAATGCTCAAACTTCAGTAGCAGTGTTAAGAGCAGTGCATGTACGTCAACAGACAAAGATCTTTAACGCTTTTATGTTGTCTAGGGGGATAAACATTTAAAACAGATCATCCAAAAGGCGACCACACCTTTTTTCAAAGTCCATGGAAGATCTATTTTACTAAACTTTCTTAGGCCAAAGGAAAACCAGTAATTTAATGTCTATGTTAATAATATACGAGTTAAACATAGTCTGATCCTAAGATTTTCGGGAAACTTAATAACTGAACAGACATTTGACGTTGTCTAACAAAAATAAACAATAAATAATAAACATATAAACTAAATATCCAAATGAACTCACACATAAAGTTTTATAAAAAGATCAAGCAATCGTAATGATGACATAATTTTCATTAAATATACCAAATAGGGCGGTTTTAATCTAATTTCAAGTATTAAAAAAATCAAAATGATTATGAACGTGTTAATGTCTCACCCAGATTTCCAAACATCCATTTCTAAAGTAACTGCCATTGAGTTACTATCATAAATGTTTAAAACCTTTTTATTTAAGATATTCAACAAGTGTCTATTTCTTATTCTTAATTTTGAACTAATTTCACTCACAAATAATTAAAATACGAAGAAATTCCACGAACTTTCTGGATCAACAATCGTATCTTTTTACCATTTGATCCATCGACACAATGATCGATCTACAACTGTTTATTATTTAGTTGTAAATTGAAGAGGTCGTTGCTAGACCATCTTTAGTCAGTTTTAAAGTTTTAAAATTTCCTAAAATTTTCCATTTCATTTCTATCTTTGTTTTTAGGAAAAGAATAAAAGAGTTTATTTATGTATTGAAAAAAATATGTTTTTTCTCCTTTTTTCAAATGCATTATTCAATCAATAATTGTAATCTTGTTTACATAATTTACTTTTTGGGTGTCTATATAAGGAATTGGACAACTAACCTCCTTCAGCCTGGTCCTCATTTTCGTTCTCCTGTAATAAAGCTTTCTTTTCTGAATTTTGACTCGTCATTACATCCATCTTAATTCCTACAGAAAAAAAGAATATCAAAACATGACATAATAATATGCTCTTTGTTTTTGAATAATTTAAAATATAAAATTTCATAAGTGTAACTTTCATTCAAAGTTTCGTCTTTTATCATTAATCCTGTTTTATACAGACCACATTTTCTTCACATTAAATTAAAAAGAATTTGGAAAACTAACTTCCAGTTTCCTTTTCACTGGCCTTACGACGGTGTTTCAGTTTCCATATCAAACATGAACATAGGAAAATAACGACAAGAGCAGCTAAAACCACGGGTACCGCTATCCAGATATTGCTTCCAGAAGAATCCCCCGGTTCGGTAGAAGTGGTCCACAATAGACTGACATTTCTAGGGGAGACAGTCGTAACTTCAAGGTCACTACATAAGGATTTGTTTGTGTCATGTTGGATTTAAAGAACAGGAAAGAATTGTGTGAATAATTACAATAAATATATTTCGTTGTAGAAATACCTGCTTAAGGTAGGACAGGTAGGGTCAGCTAGATAAAATCTGTTTTGTTTGTTGATTTTTGTGCAAGCTGGATCTAGAGATTCAAAGTTCAGGTATTGATTGTAAATATCATTTTTTTAAAAGTATGTAACAGATAAATAAAAGTTTCTTCTTTACATAACAATCACATTTAAGCTTTGAATTAACAAGCCTAAAAAGAATGAAGAAAGAAAGTAAACAGTAAACATATCATTCATAATTTAATTAAGTTCATCAACAGATGATACTCGAAATTTTACAAGATTTCATTTGTTTCCTAGAATTTCGGGTAATTTTCAAATGAATGTTGTCCAATCCAAAACATATACATGTATACAGGTATTTAAGGAATTCTCACATTTTATTAGATAGTAAAAATATAAATTATAACAAGATAATTTCTATTAATGGCTTTAAAGTTTTATTTGTACGAAACAAGAAGTTCCATCTCTGAAAAAAGGACATACATATTTTTTTTTACTAAATATAACAAGACATGTGAATAGAAGAGATATATTGTTTGAATGTTGTATATTTTTTTTTTGAAAATTACTTTTTTGACATTACATTATACGCTCATTATTTAACACTAATGCATAATTATAGAAGTTTTCCCGAAAGGATCCTTTTTTCAGTCTCTTAAGTTGATTTGTTTTGAACGTAGTTTATTGATATCAATCAAAAGGATTGGAAACAAGTTCTAAATAACTTAGTGAATTCCTCTCCTTACATAATTACGAAAGCCCAGAAGGCTCATTCGAGATTCAAGTTTCGAAATACGAGATTCAAAATTCGAGATTCGAAATTCGAGTTTCGAGATTCAAGATCCAGATTAACCAATCAAAAGGCTCATTCGAGATTCGAGGTTTGAAATTCGAGATTCGAAATTCGAGTTTCGAGATTCAAAATCCAGATTAACCAATCAAATGCGGGTTCAACATTGATTACTCCCCTTTATTATGTTTAATCTATCAATAAATCGTTTAATATATTTATAACAAATGAGTCATTTGAATAAATTACAATGCAAGAAAGAGTGTTATATAAATTAGAAAGAAAGTTAAATAATCATTTGATTTTTGATCAGCAAGATATACTTCAATTTATATTATGACTTCTTAAATATTAAATAGAATACATAATCAGGAATATATATATTTTTGCATTGTCTACTATATATAAAGGATTGTTGACATAATAATAAAGTTATAAATAGTGACTAAAGATTAACAAAATCCTTGTAGCCTTGATAAATAAAAAACCGAGTATATTTTAGTCTTTGACCATAACGCTATGATCAGAGACTAAAATATAAAACCATAACGCTATAGTTCTGCAGCTAATTTAGACTAATCTACTGTTTGATATCAGATAAAATGAATGCTGCATTTATTCTAATTCATATTTGCAATCTGTATTGTATATATAATTGTTAATTAGTTCAAGAAATCAAAGCCTTAGATGAACATAAGTAATTGAAAACTTTATTTTAATGTATTCCCTCTATTAGGAAAACGAGCGCGGTTTTTATTTATCAAGGCTATATTGCCTTTCAAAGTTTTAAAGTAACATTTTCAGTGTCGGAAAAATTGGCAGGTGTTGCCGGTAGGGGTGGGGATTTTGTTAATCTTTAGACACTATTTATAACTGTATTATTATGTCAGCAACCCTTTATATACAGTAGACAATGCAAAAATATATATATTCCTGATATATGTATTCTATTTAATATTTAAGAAGTCATAATATAAATTGAAGTATATCTTGCTGATCAAAAATCAAATGATTATTTAACTTTCCTTCTAATACATATAACACTCTTTCTTGTATTGTAATTTAATCAAATGACTCATTTGTTATAAATATATTAAACGATTTATTGATAGATAAAGCATAATAAAGGGAAGTAATCAAATGTTGAACCCGTATTTGATTAGTTAATCTAGATTTTGAATCTCGAAACTCGAATTTCGAATCTCGTATTTCGAACCTCGAATCTCGAATGAGCCTTTTGGTTGGTTAATCTGGATCTTGAATCTCGAAACTCGAATTTCGAATCTCGTATTTTGAATCTCGTATTTCGAAACTTGAATCTCGAATGAGCCTTCTGGGCTTTCGTACATAATACAATATGTCATGCAAAAAGAAAAAATAATACAATCCATACATGAATAAATAGATACAATATAATGTAATACATCATTTGGAGAATCTACATGTTTCGTCAATAAATTTATGAACAGCAGCAAAAATACTGTTATTTATCTGTAAAGGCAAATTAACCTCACCACATAATAATACATTAATATCTATAGAAACCAAATCAAGCATGAACAAATGATTAAAAATGATTAAAAAGAGTACTTCTAGCACTGGAATAATTTGTGCATGCAAAAAAGAAATGATACACATCTTCATTTTTTCCACATAAACATAATGGACTACTTACAATATTTCGTTTATATAGATCATGGTTTAGTATACAGTAATGTCTTAACTTGGTATGAATGATATTTGTGTATCGTTTGCCAAAAGAATAGTATGGTGGTGGAATATCAATTTTTGTTGTCAAGTTTTTTCTAAATGCTTTGACTGAAACGGCTTCTCTCGTATCTGTTTTTAATAAATTCCATTGTCTCTTAAGTTAAGGCAATATATAAGCTTCAACTTTGATGTCGAAAGGTGTTTGTTATAAAATTGAAACTATCTATTTCAATGAAAAAAAAACAAGAAAACTTTATAAACCTTCATTTTTCATTATTTCGTCAAAGCTTTGATTGATGTAAAACGTGCTTTTAGTTTTTATGTATAATATTGATTTATATACCAAACAGCAAAGTTAAATTATCACAAACGCAACTCATATTGTGTTCAGTTAACTTTGTTTAGTTTTATTTTTTCGCCGTTTGTTTTTAAAAGCATTCACACATTCAAAAGAAAGTCTGGTTTTTTCAAATGAACAATGACAAGGTAGCAAAATAGCTAACCTTTAAGAGCCATTCTCTGTAAGAATCAAAGAATTTAGAAAAAAAGTTGGAAATGGTACATCACAGATTTGGCTGATTTTTTGAATGCAATTTTGAAACACCATGTATAGAACATTTTGGGGGTAAATTTATTTTTTTTTTAGTCCCGGTTGCCATGGTAACCAAAACCACCATTTTGAGGCCAAAAATACAGAGCAACCTACTGAAAGTATACCATCTTCATCATAAATATTTTCTGCATATTATTTACAGATTTAATTGTTGCCTAATCTGATACCCCAATTGTTGGAGTAACTACCACAACTAATGAAATTATTCAGTTGTTGGTCATAAAAGAGGTGTCTTTCAGTAAAAAGAGTGAATTTTTCAAAATTTTAAGAAATTTGAAAAAAAAATGCAAATTTTTGGCATTTTCTTAACATAGTAGCAAGAAAACGCGAGCAATATAACAAACAACTACCATCACTGAAAAGGTGATTCCTTAACTTAATAAAATATAAAAATTTCTAGAGAGGTATTATTTCTCAAAAGAAAATAAAACAAAAACGAAAATGGTTGCCATGGAGATTTTGGATTAATTTGTAGATTCAACATTTGGCTCCTTTTTGTACATTATAGCTTAAAAAAAATCAAAAGTAAAACAAATCACACTACTTAACCTCATAATTTTAAAATATTATGATAAAAATGTATGTTCATAAATTAAACAAAAATAATGTGTTACTATAGTAACCAACAAGTCAGGAAAAATCACGATAGCCTTATTAGCTACTATATCGTTACGCAGAATCTGTGGCCTCAGTGCATGGTTAAATTTCTTCAATTAGATAGATAACACTTATTATATTTGGTATTTCACTTATCTACATTTAAAAAGTTAAATAAAAATTCAAGCGTCTAAAATCACTTTGCTATGGTAACCCAATAGTTTTTAAACACTTCCTTATAATGGTTGCTATCACAATTTTTGTGATACTGACAAGTATACAAGGGATAATATAAAAGCTTCATTCATGATTTTTTTTTCTTTTTCAATAAAATAAATTGAATTTACTTGTATTTCATCAAATATCAAACAGAATTTTTTTTTAAAAAATGGTTGCTATGGCAACCAATAGTTCAGGATAAATAATTTTCATTGATATGTTTAATATACAAAATCTTCTGCTTTATTGCATGATTATATATTTTCTTCAATTCCATATAAACCTTTTCATTTCACTAACATGAAAATAGAAATTTATAATTTAAAAAGAAAACAGTTGCTATGGTAACCAATTGCTTATAACTCAGGAATGATCCAAATAATTATTGGTTAATCAATATACAAAACTCATAGCACTGCCACCAATGTTTGATTATGCTTGTAATTAATTTATTTACCGGGACAAAAACAGATGAACTCAAACTTAAACTGATCAGATTTTTCTGAATTACTGCAGCAGGATTTGTTTCCATGGAAACAATAAATACCTTCTTAAAATCATGACCGATCTTTTGGAAGCAACTTGCTTTAATTTATTAATTGAAACATATATACACATATTTTAACATGTACGTGCGCTTCTTAGTTTAAATAGGACAAGCAAAGTCAAGAGTGCCCCCCCCCCCCTCTCCTCGATTCAACTTGTTTGTTGTTGTTGAAATTATCTTTTGCTGTTCCTTTTTATACGGCCGTCTTAAGATGGGACGTATTATGTTATAGGATTTGTGTCCGTCCTGCTGTCTGTCCGTCTGTTAGTTAATCTCGTGTCCGGCT